AAAAAAAAAAAAAAAAAAAAAAAAGGAAAGCTGCCTGAGACTTTCTTTGCAGGAACTGACTGAAATTGGTCAGATTCCAAATAAAAATGAAGTTTAGTTAAATGAGTGAATATACTGCTAAAAATATTGTTTTTACTTTGAAAGAACTACAGAGAAAAACTGTTGGAGCTATCTAACCTTTCTGAGGTCAGTTAGTAAGAGGGGAAGGTGTCCATAAACTAAGTGGGGTAAAGAAGAAAGCGTATACTCACCATTCTTATCCTTTGTGAAGAGTGGGGTTATTTGTAATTATTCCACTCAGTTTAGTAGGTGTTTGGGGATTTTAAGAATTGGAGAGAGATAAGACAATGGTGAACCACACATGCTTACTTCAACTGTTTTCCCTTCAGCAGGTACTAAAACTTAATTATAAATTACAGAACCATTTTGACAAATACAGAGTTCATGGAGGCAGGGTACAAAAGTTGAAGCTGTAGGGTGTGCAAGGGTCAAACTCTACAGCAGCCAGGAATGCCAAGTGAGGGACTTGAACTCTATCTCGAATGCAAATGCTTACCCCACAAAAGCTTCTGAGCAAGAGAGACATCAACAGGTACCTTTACCAAAGAAACTTTTTATATGCAACAATGAAAATCATTACAAAGAGGTTTTTACTTGCATTTATCTATTCGTTATAGCTCTTACAAGCATAACGTAGCTACACCAAATAAAATTTTTTATTGTAGAGAAATATTATCTCTGACATACTAAGACACTCTACCTATTAACTATTAAATTAACGGTACCTTTCTCCACCACAGGAGTCGATGACGTAACCAGAAATCAAGCCACTGGCCTGCAGTTCTTGCTGAAGTAAACCAAACCAGTGAAGCCTCAGTCTTCTCACCGATTCTTTGGATATCAGAAATATCAGAGTTACTTACTTGGAAATTATATAATCTATCTGGATCAAAGGGAGAGTGACTGGTTCTTGACTACTTAAATACAAGGCCATGTTATTTGTTATTTTCTGTACCTTTTAACACCATCAGGTGTCTGCTTAGTATCAGAAACAGGATGAAAACACACTCCAATCTGAGCAAGGCCATAAGGTAGCCTCCTGTTTACCAGATCCAGGCAATTAACATAGTGCTCCAAAGCACCTGTCAAAAGATAAATTCATCATCATATAAATCTATTCCATATACCCAAGTCATAAGGATCAGTTTATAAACAAGTTAACAATATAATAATGCCAGCAAAGCAGTACAAGTAGCATGGAAATATTAAGGCAGATCTTAATTGATTACCACTTAGTTTTAGGTGGTTTCCCCACAACTTCTTGATTTTCAAATCAATAAGAAAGTTGAAAGTATAGTACAATAAATATCTGTAAACTCTTCAGCTAGATACACCAACTGTCAACATTCTGCCACATGTTTTCTTGTTCACCCCGAAACATTTCAGCATGTGGCTCCTGAAATTATTCTCTATCATTACTGCACCATAAAATTAATCGTGATACCACAATTTCATCTAACACATGGTCAATATTTTATTTTCTCCAATTGTCACCCAAAATGTCATTTATTGCTGTGGTTCCTGCTCTGCATTTTTACCAGGTCTCTTTAATCTATTTTAATCTAGAACATGTCCCCTTGCTCCTCCCTCCTTCTCTAACTTTGCTTTTAATGACATTGACTTGACTGGAGTCCAGGACAGTCATACTCAAGATCTGGCTAATTGTTTCATTAATTGGGGTAAATCATTTTTAACAGAACTAAATACTACATAGTTGATATGTAGGTCTTCTTGCATTTTAACAGGAGGAACATAATTTCAAATTATCCCATATTAATGAAACCAAATTTGATTACCTGATCAGGTAGTAATATCCATTCCCCAACAACAGCCTGCTCAACAAACTTCCACCCAACATTTTAGAATCCATTCATGATCCTGCTTGAATCATTATACTGGGGATTGCAAAATCATTAGAAGGTGACTTTTCTGTCTTTCCTTCTACACGTATTTCATAGCTTCTGTAAAAACAATGTTTTTCCATCCCTTTCCCCTACCGGCAGTCTCAACTATTTATTTTTTGATTAACACTATAAATTTCTGGGGCGCCTGGGTGGCTCAGTCGGTTAAGCCTCCGACTTCAGCTCAGGTCACGATCTCACGGTCCGTGAGTTCGAGCCCCGCGTCGGGCTCTGGGCTGATGGCTCAGAGCCTGGAGCCTGCTTCCGATTCTGTGTCTCCCTCTCTCTCTCTGCCCCTCCCCCGTTCATGCTCTGTCTCTGTCTGTCTCAAAAATAAATAAACGTTAAAAAAAAATTAAAAAAAAAACAACTATAAATTTCTATTTTTAATGTGTTATAATCTATTACTATTACTAATTAATATTCAGCTGGATTCTCCCTCAAGCCATTATCTGTGTCCTTGTGATATAACTTTACTAGTCTTCAAGTAATTCTTTGCTTTCTAGCACCATAAAATGTCTCAAACTCACTTTGTACTTTCCCTGCCCCAGATCTGGGATTAGCCATTTCTCCAAGCACTGGTTCATTTTAAAAATCAAAGTCTGGGTACTAGTTGTGTTTATTGCTATTGTCATTACTTCTAGGTCCTTCCAAAATGAAGAAAGTTAAGAAATGTTTTTCAAAATTATGAGGTCATACTAATATCAATATAATATTGCTGATTCAAATTTAACATTACAAAGTTTATCCTTGCCTTCTTTTATATTTGTATCTTTTATATTATATTTGTATCTCTTTTTTCTTACAGCAAAAATCTTGGTTCCTAATAACCTTAACCTATCCATCTAATTGCTTTATCATCTAACATATATGAAACAGCTTCAGAATTATATTTCCAACATTTCTATCTGGAATAAATCTAAATTCAAGAGTTCTTTGTGGTTCTTTATGCACTGAGATGACATCCCACTAAATGACAGCATTGTGTTCAAATTACTTGAGATTTCCACTTCTGATAATAGCACACTAGCCTGCTGATAAGAAAAGCTGGTAAAGAAATTAAAAAAAAAAAAAATCTGTTTAAAGACTATCAAGGCAGTAAGGACTTGTGGGTCCAAAACATGGAGAGAAGGGTAGAGCAGAGAGGTGAACCCAACAGTTATCATTGCTTTTCTAACGCTCAAGTAGCAGAGCTGAGAAGCTGAAATGCTGAGAACTTCCTGACAAGTTATGGGACTGGAAAGTACAAAAATTGTAGTTCCGGGCTCCTGAAGGAGGAGGTGCCAAGGTAAACACTCCAGCCTTTCATGAGGGACATTCAAAGAGCTATAGTGTAGGAGTAAAGATGAAAACACTTAAGACCAGCCTCCAATAAACTCAATCTTGAATTGCATTAAGAAGATATGCTTCCACGATAGCTGCCCGCCAAAAGCAAAAGTAAATCCTCCCAGGAAGAAGAAAACACCACCAATATCTCAATTTATCTCTCCAACTTATACACAAATTACAGAGAATATCAGGAGAAAAGTCCAATGACCAAAAGCCAGAGATACAGACACTAGAAACAGATACATCTTGGTCATTAGACACAGACTTTAAAATGTGATTGTGTTCAAGAAAGCTGATGACAAGATGGGGGAAGAGGTTTAACACGTGTAATTTGTCACAGAAGGACAGAAGAAAGAGACAATTAACAATAACAATATCTGGAAACAAAAACATAAAAGACAATAACAATATCCAGAAACATAATGGCTGAGAATTTTAAAATGCTATTCATAAGTAGAGGCTACCAAAGTTGTCCAGACATGAAATAAAGAAAGCAAGGACCTTGAGAATAGAAAGTAGCAAACTGGGTAAGTCTGAGCTAAAAACACCAGTCAATTAAAGGATTCTGCAAATAAGTGGTTTTAAATTTGCTAAAGAAAAGGTCTGATATATCAAAAGATGTTTTGATGAATGGGCATCTAAGCGAGCTAAGTTTCATTTTCTAATAGGGAAGAAAACATTGATTTGTTTTGGACATAGTAACAAGTGGTGATTTAACTCCCCCAGAAAAAAGACATGGAATAATTAAAGTAGCACAAATCAGAACTGTCACAAATACTCACCAGTTTGTTTTATTAGGGAAATCTTTAAAATATGGGTACTAATTTTCAGACAACCATGGACATTGGGTTATTTTAAGTTACTTTTATAGTGCCACTTAATTAAAATAGCAAGGATAGCATTTTGCAAAGATGAGAAGCTGTGGCTGCAAGTCTGTCCTGTAAAGAACCGTTATTTTTTGTTATTTTATTTTATTTTTTTACTTTTTTCAGAATCTCTGCTATCATGTTCTATTTGACTCCAAGGGCAAATTGTGACCTACAAATTTCTGTGTATTCACTCAAGAATTATTTATAAAGCTTGATTAGTACTATTATTTTTTTAACTGACTCAAAAATCACTTAAGGGGCACTTCAAACAACTGTAGACCAGTTTTCTGTAAGAAAAAATTGGGGGAGGGGGGATTTTCATTTTGCTCTAGAAAAATAAACTTTTGATTAGTCTATTGTGTGTAAAATTAAAGATAACTAAGTATTTACAAAGGTTTTGGTAACGTCGAACAAATGACTCACATCATTTAATTTAGGCCCGAATTCTGGAGCTGCTCAATTGAACTCTAGTGTTGTCCAGTCAAATGGACCAGTTTTCTCCATGGTAGGAAGTCAATATACCCAACTACATCAAAAAGATGAGAACCAGATAATTTCCTTCCCACGTGAATACAGGGCCTGTTGCAATTCGCGAAATCTACCAAGACTGCCTTTCCACCCCATCTATTTTGAAGCATGAAATCGTGAAGCATACCGTGAAGAAGGTTCTCCCGTAGTTTCCCAGAAGTTTTTAGTAAGTTGTCAAGAAATGGTACTAGCTGTTCCTTACTCAGCTCTTTGTCTTGCAAGAGTTCGCGTAGAGTTGCTGCTGAAACTAACCTGAAGGTACTGTCCCCGGGCAGCAAAGGGCCTGGCTCATGGTGGAGGGCGTCTACCGGGAAGACCTGCTCCCTTAACACCACCACGGAGGACCACCATTCTGCCGCCAGGTTCTTCCGCAACTCTATGCCCAAGGGGCCAAAGCCGGGGTGGCACCCGCTCAGAAGAGAATGTCGGCTAAGCTGCCGCCTGCTGCCGCTGAAGAAATGCCTTCTCTGACAGATCTCTAGCAGCTCCTCGCTCCCCTCACCAGACTCGGGGACTTCGGTCGGCTCGCTCCCCCGGGGCAGCTCCGCTTGCGACCGCAGGGGCACTCCGAAGGAGCTACTCCCTTCCGTCAAAGGCTCAGGCTGCCCCCCATCCACTCGACCTCCAAACCCAGACAATAGGCACCTGCAGACTTTCTGGCAGGCCCTGACTGCAGCACCAGAACGCATCGCCCACGGGAGTTAAACTGCAGTATCCTATTAGCTGGCTGGTCCCGGGAAACGGCCACAAACGTGAGCCCAGGAGCCAACTGCGCAGGCGCGACGGAAGTGCGCGGACGCCCGGCTGGCCACGCCCACGGAAGCACGTCCGTGTTTCGGTTGTAGCGGCTGCAGGCCTACGCCAGTAGCTATGGCCGGCGCAGACCCGGTACCGTTTCTCGCCTCAACCAAGTTCGGCCCCTACTCTTTAGCCATCATTAGCACCGATAAAGATCATCCTCGTCTACTTTTCACTATCGTGCTGTACCAAGTCCGCTTTGTTTCTCAAGTGTTTTGCAAATCACATCAAAATACTTGTGTTCGCCAAATCGCCATTTAAATACACCTTTTCAATCTCAGGTGTTTGCGTAAACTGTTACCTCTTTTAAAGCCTTAGCCCTTTATAGATTAGAGACACAAGCTTTAGTTGCAACTCCTTGTAAATGTTACCGCTACCCCCCCCCCAAAGAGGTTCTCTGCTCTCTGGGGTTGGGGTTGTGTGAAGGGAAGGGTATGGACCTTTCACATTTTGGGAGCGGTTCTCAAAAGGGAGTCCTCGGCCAGCAGTGCCTGCACCCCCTCGGAACACTTTTGGAAAAGGAGCCCTGGGACCTTTTAAACAAATCTTCCAGGTGAATGTGGAGGCACACTGATAATCAGCGGTAGAGGCAAGTTTTCCCACTGGAGGATCCTTCCACAGGTCCATCAAAGCGTAATGCGTGATTACCGGTCTCAAAACCAAACCAGGATTACCTAGCAGGCACTTAAGACTTCACAATTTTCATTTCTTAGAGCCTTTAGAATTGCCCAAATGGTGGAAAGGTGCCTCAGCCCACTGAGGAAAATTGTTGCTTCCCAAAGCCCACAACTCCAATTTCTAAGCCTCCCTTAGAGCAGTTAGGGTAACCTTGTAAGACTAATTTGGGTTAAGAGACACAAGCAACTGGATTTCACTATACTACACCAAAGGGCAGTTTGTGAAAGGAGGGTACAATGGCTGAGGCAGTTGAATTAACCTAACAATAGTTAAAATTTATCAGGCTCAGAAAATCATTCCATACAAGCACATGTGCATTAGTTTGTAAGCTTTAAGACCGTATTGCTTGTAATTCTATTACAAGAACTGCAAAGCTGGGCTCTATCAACGTGTTTTCCAATCAGGAAACACCAGGGAAGAGGCCTATACACAAATAAATAAAAGCGAGAACGGGGAGAAAAATCACATTTATTAGTTCAGACAACCACAGGCTGGACACAACACACATGCTAAAAAGTGGACTGTCTTAAAACTTACTTCAAAGGTAAATAGGTAAATGTTTTCCACAGCCCCACAATCATTTCAGTAAATGTTTACAAATTAAAAGGCCGTTAGACATTAAACAGTAAAATATGTAATAAATACTCCAACCTACCCCAAAAGCTTCTTAAGTTAAAAGTCATAATGAATTTGACTAACCATGCTATTGAAAACTGTTCAGTTACTAGACAGGCTGAATCAGTTTTCAATGTATTAGTCCTAAAAATACCAATCCCCATCCCCCACCCCAAGCAAATTCTAGTTAAGTTTTACATTTTAGAGATAAGGCATTGACACCAATTAAAGCCTCAGTTTAATAATCAAAATTTAAATGAAGTCTCATTAAGACCTCTCCTCTCCTGACAAAAAGGAACATAAATACCAGACTGTCTGGGAAGACATTCAGACCTATTTCTAGTCATAATTGAAATGTAGTATTAGAAAGGTTGGTGAGCCAAAATTGTATTGAAAACCACCACCCCTCCCTTGACCTTTCTAGAAATAAAAACCCATGTTGACCCTAAGAAGACTTGTACAATGGTCACTGTGCTTTTGGTTATGTTGCCTCCTCTTGGTTAACTATTAACTTCAACAAGATTTTTGTTTATGAATAGACCCTCCAGTCTGAAGTCTTTAGAATTCCCTGAATTATTGGAAAGATATTCATGATTTCCCATATAACTAGTTAAGAGCCCCAGCAAGCCTGAAGACTACAATCTACATAAACTGAAACTTAGCTCTTAGCCAAACGTCTTACAAGGTGTAAAGTTTTTAGCTTTAATCACCATTTCAGTTAATTCACAGTAGAGCCAAGAGCAAAAATATAATCTATTCTGAAACAGCAAGCTATTTGGAGCTTTTCAAATGATGACATTTTACAAAGGATTAAAGTCCTCCATGTTGCTCTCACATGAAGCACTTTGAGGGTGGGGCTACACAGGTGGTTATTTCCTACCTTAATCTCACTTTACCATTCTGCTACCAGGCTATTAAATAACTCACCTGATGAGGTACTTACAAAAAGCCTTGATGCAATTTTGCCTAAAATTATAAATTTAAACTCATTTTACTTCTTGCAATATAAATAGACCGTTTTAAGGAGGGCCTTCTGATCTCCCCACTTCCCAAACTTAAATTATAGAAAGGAGCAGTCTTTTTAGTTTTTATGGTTAAAAAAACAGACCATCTAAGCAAAGTTTTACATGACATTATATATGTAAAATAAAGTACAATTTCCACTTAATTCAGTCTTCAAATATTTTTTATTGGAAGGCCATGCGTTGCCTTCATTTATTGTATTTCAAATCACTGTACATTTACTTGTGAAAACACTGCCTGCATTTTCTAGTACAAAAAAAACCTAAAAATTGTTTCAGGAATGTAGAGAAATATCCAACTTAAATAGCGAAAAAGTGCACCATAATTACTGCTGCACTGCAGTCATTTCTGCATTTCCCAGGTTTCTTAAATAACTATCTTGTCTGATAACACACAATATAAAGAGCAATTATGAAAAACAGACATTTACATATACTTCTAAAGTCTTATTGAGAATATCCTGTTGGCATTGGATAACCAATCATAGGTGCAGCTGCAGTAGCAGGATATGCATATGCCTGTTGGTTCATACCATTGTGCATATTTGGAACGTTACTTCCATATTGCTGAGTGCTATCATAACCGTTCTGGTAAGTCCCTGTTGGATTACCAGTCCTAAAACTGGTCTGTATACCAGCAGACACAAAATTACTTCCAAAGCTCCCATTGGTGTAATTTGCAGCACTGTAAACACCATTCTGAGTTTTTGCCCCAAAATCTCTCTTAAGCAGACTAGAATAACCTCGGTCATAATTTTCCCTGTCTCTAAAGGTATTAAATCCACCCCTTTTGCCCGCAGAGTATCTGTCCCGACGGTCATCCTTCATGCCTCCTCTACCCCTGGAACGACCTGAACCTCTGTCTTCGACCAACTGAAGCAACTTGGGATTAATTGCTTGATTAGCTTCACGAAGCACAGAGATAAGGTCGCTCACTTGCTTTATGTTATTAGGTGTAAAGAAAGTGTATGCTGTGCCTGTTTTGGTACTGCGAGCAGTTCTTCCAATTCGATGAATATAATCCTCTGAGGAGTTAGGGTAGTCATAATTGATGACAAATTTCACATCTTCCACATCTGTAAGGTGTTGCAGTGTGGCAAAATAGCAATGTACGGAGTTTTGCACACCACAACAGCCAGACCAAAAATAAAAAGTTAGACAATTGTATTCCCAAGAAGGTACGGGCTGCAAAAAATACAGTTAAAATGGTTATCCATTCCCTGTAGGAATACCATTGAAATTGGAGAGGGGGAAAAAAAAAAAAAAGCACACACCATCTACCTGGATGTCTCATTACCCACCCAATGATAGACAGCCTGTCAGTAAGACGTGTATTCTCTAACATATTCCCAAACCAGCAAGTCCCCTTACAGATCGTCAAGTGACATCTGAATGCTTCTGCGCAGTAGGGCCACTTAAAGGTTCACAGCAACCTCTTCATGTGCTCATTTTGAGGACCTTTAAACAAAAATGTACATGGTCCTTTGCATTACACACTCATCAGAAGTTCAAAATTCTGGCCACACTGCTTGTCTTGCCAAGACCTTACAACCGCAGCTGCAAGAAAAACATACCTGTCCCCCAAAAGTTGTTTTTATGCACTGTGTCTCGTCTAGGCAAGCGCTTCCAAGAAGCCAGGATTCACTTGAGAATGTGTCTCTCTCTGGCAGGTCTCGACATGACGACTACTGTGTAGGTGAGGGAGGAACTTTCAAAGCACTGCTTTCTTTTCCCACTGACTAAGTGTGAGAAGTTGCTCCTGCTCTAGATCTCATGTGCCAGTACTCACCAATTTGTAAAAGGCTTAGTACCTTTTAAAGCTGCTCTCTCCATTTCAAACTTGAACAAAAATTTCATTGAACATTGAAGTTTGGAAATAGTTCTTCAACATTTCAGCCAACTCACTGAAACTCAAAGACCCACAGATCACAGTAAACAGTTTGAAACAGTGCTGTACCATGGCAGTCATGCAAAGCATGGGACAGAAGAAATACCACGGCAGTGAACTGTGAGGATAACTTGCACTTTTTTCCCCCGGAGAGAACAGTTTACGGGGCAGAGGTGGTATGTTCTGCCTTTTGAAGATTACTGGCACACTTTCAGCTTTTCACCTCTCTAATCGACTGGAAGCAGCCAGCCGACCACTAGTCCTCCATCCCCCTCGAGTCCTCCGATTGTCATGCCTAGGCCTTGCCAAAGGCTGCACCTTTATATGAAAAAAACTTGGAAAAAATGCAGAGGTTAAAGAAAGCAATAAACTTTCTTTAAAAAAGTATATGGAGATCTTCTGGGAAACCGAGCCATGAATTCGAGTTTTTACTAACCTAGCCCTCTGGAGGCCACATCTGTAGCAATCAGAATAGGAGCTTTTCCATGTTTGAATTCTGTAAAAGAAAAACTATCATCAATAATGTAAGAATGACAGGTTTTAAGAAAAAAATTTTCATTTTCATTTGACTTACCATTTAGAACCCAGTCACGTTCCTGTTGACTCTTGTCACCATGGATACCCATGGCGGGCCACCTACATTAAAGAAAAACTATCAGTAAGTTCACCTTTAAAACCTCATAGATTT